CATATGCATATACATATACATATACATATACATATACATATACATATACATATACATATACATATACATATACATACATTGGTAATAATGAATATGATAAGAGATGTAGTTAATATATATACATCTCTTATCGTATTCATTATTACCAGTGCCCATTGTAATGGAAGGAGAGCAGCATTTAGAAATTAAAGAAATCCAAGATTCGAGGAAATGTAGAGTGTACCCAATGCCACATTGCATGGAAACACTTTCCCCCTTTGCAATCCGAATGGTTGGATGCTAAACAGGTCCAGGCACCTAAACTCCTCCAAACTTTTCATAGAAAATCCCCTGACAAACCCTGAAGAAATCACTGTTTTCTTTGGAGAGGTGCTGCTTTGTTTTATCTACCGGTATCTTTTGCGATGGACACTGGGGTGGGGGTGGGGGAAGCATGCAGGAGGAGACTGGAGATTTTTCGTGAAGCTTTGCAACTGCTCCCCTGGACTTTGCTTCTCTCTTTCGGCTTTGGTCTGCGGAAGGGAGAAGCTGAATCACAGAGTTTCCAAAAGATTTCCTGGCCGATGTTTGACCTCTGGTTGCCTAGCTATGGGGTGGGGGTGGGGTTCTAGGGTTTACTTCAATGTGATGCTTCGAGGGTCTTTGCTTCAGATCTTGCCTGACTTCTGCTGCATTCAATTGTTTCCTAGTCAAAGTACCTTTTCTCTAAATCTACGGAACCCAGGACTTTTCTCTCCCTGGGATGGAACAGAGGCAGCCCTGACAAGGATGTTGCCTTTTGCATTTCCTTCTTTTCCAGGAGAATTTATGGAAGTCTTCCATTCTTCATTCTTATGTTAAAAGCAGTGAATGATAGAGGGGATAAGACAATTGGCAGGAGGTTCAGTTTCTTAAAGGTGCGAGTTGATTGGCAATTTTAAGCAATTTATTTCATTCTTGTGATTGAACAAGCCAAGGGATGAACATCTAATGTCCATTTCAGAACAGGGGACCTGGTGGTGCCAATGGGTCACTTTGAGAAGGGGAAGGGATGCTGGGCTCCCTTCTCATCCCACCCAGGTGCCCAGCTTGGTGACTGGGGAGGAAAGTCCCAAACCCCGATTTGGAAAGGCAAATGAGTCTGCATGAAAAGCCCCCTTGGGACTTGTCCTCACAGGTAGCCACAAGGCAGGGGAAGTAGCTGCAGGGGCCTTTCCTAGCTCCAGAGGAGGACCCTTGACCTCATAGGAAATCATTTGGCTCTCAGGAACATCAGAAAGTTGCAGGTTTGACCTTGAAACTGCACCCCGAATGGTCCTCTTTCCTTCTCCTGGACTTTGAGAGGGGTTGGGCTTTCTCACTTGCAGCAGCCGGGGCTGAGGCTGATCCCGAAATGAAGTCCAGAGCTTATGGTGTCTTCATGGAGTTGACATTCATAGCTTGCTATTTCCTCCTCCAAGCTCCCCCCCCAAACTCCGTTGAGAAGTCAGAGAATCAGAGAGGTGGTGGTTTCTTCTCGGAAAGGCATAGAAGAAATCTCTTCTCAGATTGCAACTACATCATGAGGGGAGATGACTTGGGGGGGGGGATATATATTTTAGGCCTGGCCCAGGCTACTATTATCTAGCTGGCTGATAGATTCCTATTAAAAAAGACTAATTTTCAGAGTGTTATTTCGAGCTTGGCTACCGAGGCACTTAAATGGTTTTCTTTCCCCATCATTACCAACCTTTGCGGGATCTGCCTTTTTAAAAACCCACAATTAGCAAGCAGAGAAAAATGTCTTACTAGAAGAGTTCCATTCTTCCTTTCTCCTCCTTCCCCAACACGTTTCCCTGAATGATCGTAATTGCAGGGATCTGGAAAGAAAGATTGGAGCAGTCCGTGCAACACAGCACAAGGCCCTCCGGATCAACGGCTCAGCTCCCCTGGTCAAGGAAGCTTCCAGTGGAAGCAAGCTGCTGAGAGATCACAGAGATCGAAGAGGGGCAGGCTGGGTGGGCCCTCCTTCTTGGAAACTCCAGAAGGATATCATCCAAAGGACCATCATCCAGCCTTCTGCCAGGCCCTGGAGAAGGTAGCTGCTGTGAGAGGGCTGAGGATCAGGACTAATTCTGCCTCGGGCAACAGAAGATGCCAGGAGGTGAGAGCTTGGCCACAGTCTGGGCCCAGGCAGGGAAACTATTCCTTCCCAGTGAGGAGGACAGACTCCCTGTCCCAGGATGCAGAGGAAGCAGACACTGTCAGGGTTCCAAATAGCATCCAAAAGTAAATCAGAGTCCAAGGCAAAGGATTCCTCAAAGTTCCAATTTATGAAGAGAGCCATGTTGGCACAACTGGGGAAACCACCAGATGTCTGAAAGCTTCCAGGTTTTCCCACCCAGTTAAAAATTCAACTGTTGAAAGTTGTGGATGTGGGGGACCTGCCCCCACACCCACAAGTCCAGCACATGGTCCAATGTTCCCTTGGCATGCTGGCAGCTTCCACCCATTCGCTTCTGGCCAGGTGGAGAGACAACGGACGACCTTGGCTTTCTAGAAATAATTTTGTTATGGCTACATATCACCCAACTCCATATAACCCCCCCTCCCATTTTCCCACAATAGAAAATGCATAGTAGAATACTAGAAAATGGAGCAGGCCTGAAGTCCAAAAAAAAAAAAAGTTTGCAGGCCTGACAGCTGGAGGCAAAGGATGGCTAAGTGAAGCAGTGAAGGTCTGGGGGATCAAGCCCCAGCCCCAGCAACACCCCTGACAGGTGAAGGAGAGCTGAGCATCTCCTTGGAAAGCTTGCAATCTTAGGAAATTCTTCCTGATGGTTAGATATGGCTCAGATATGGTTCTTGTAGTTTAACCCACTGCTTCTGCCCTCTTGAATGACTCTACCCCACCTTCTGTGACAGTCCCACCTACACCCGAGGACAGTCACAGCAACTCTCTCTTCCCCAGGTTAAATACCTCCAACAATTCCCCATCGCTTTTCCTTCCCTTTTCACTTCTCTGACCTCCTTTTCTAAAATTCAGTCCCTGGAACCGGAAGAATATTTTGAGACGCTTTCCCTACAGCTGGACACTATTTATCCGTGAGGGCAACCCAGGTCCCATTTTCCTTTCCTGCAGCTGCATCACCCAAGCTCTCCTTGCATACCCTGTTCCCAAGTGAGTGCCCAGCCAGACTTGTGGTTTTGCTTCTTCCCACACAAATGTAAAGAGGACAAATGCCGGGCATTGCATGTCCCTCATAAAATCCATTGCCTCCATGACTGCCTCTCGGTCAAGCCTGTCAAGGCTTCCTGAAT